CAGTAACTGCCATCTCCTCGCCCACTTCTCCCTCTCTCTCTCTCTATACCCCTGCCCTGGAACACTCTAAACTTTCAAGTAACTTACGCCTCCAGCTGCCCTTTTTTTCGTTCACTTTTTTTTTTGGTTATTTTGTGATGTTTTTGTTTTAGTTGAAAAGGAAATAGGGTACAGGGTACAGGGGACAAAAGAAAAGAAAGGCAAGATGCACATTTCCTCAATGGCAAAATCCCTTCCGTGGCAAAAAGGAGCAGCAATGTGGAGGGAGAAGGATATTATTATATTTGCTGCCGAGACAGGACTGAACATATTTATTGATTTCCGGTTCCAGTTTCTCTCTGTCTCTCTCTGTAAGTTGAAAGATGTAATTAAAAATAGGTCTCAAGGCTGCTGCCATTTGCTCTCTGCATAGTTAATGCGCGAAACTGTCAGTCTACATTGCTATAATACAATTATTTAGTCGTGACTTAAGCTGACGTCCTTGGAGGACATTAAGCCAGAGATATCATTACTCAGAGGAGGGAAAAGTAAAAACTTAACAAATGATTGATCAATGAAAGTAATGCTAACAATAGCCTTTCTGCTTCTTAGGCATCTTGAAAAGTTATTGATTAAGATATAGGATTAAAGGTGATAGAAGTGCTAAGGGAAGGTAAACAGAAAACCTACTTCAATACACTCTTAACCCAACTTATTACTAACATAATTTCATGATTTTATTATAGGAAATTTAAAGTACCTTAAATCAGGAAACCACGCTCACTCATTACGAGAATCTTGGCTACATCTTGAACATTTCCAGATAATATTTCAGGAATTAGCTTACAAATCGAATTAAATAAGCGACTGAGCAGCGGCAAAACAACAAACAGCCAACAACACGACCTACTTGTGCGTTTTTCAACTTGACTGCACCACAACAACAACAACAACAACAACAACAACAACACGAACAACAACAACAACACCACTTGCAAGAACAATAAATTTATGGCTTTTAAAAATGTTTAACTCAAACTTGCCACCCCAACGACCAAAATGTTAGCCATGTTTGCGGTGGTTGCTTTTGCTTTTGTGTCGCAGATTTATGGCCGCTAAAAAGTGAGGGGAAATGGCTAAGGAAAACTTCACAATGGCTGTGGCGAAATAAACTTTACGATTTTCTAGGTAGTCAAATTGAATAAATGTTAAGACAATTGCCGACTGTACTTTCGGGGGCAAAATAGAAGAGTTGACTCCCAGGTCCAGTCCATTCCGGGTATATCCGCATCCAAAGGGATTACTTACCTTTCACCTGACGCTTTGGCACGCCCTTTGGCTTCGGCTTGCTGGGCCAACAATCAAACATGAGACCCAACTCCAAACTTCCGGCTGACGCAACCCCATGTTCCATGCTTCATGCCACATGCCCCATCCTTTGTGCGCCGCCATCAAATGTCGGTGCGAATTTCATTAAAATAAACTTTTTCTACAAAACTCTCGCGCACTCAGCGAGTACATTTTCATTTTATTTGCAAGGGCCAAACGACACCGGGAAAAAAAAATCGAAATCACGGCCCGCCACTTTTAGCCCAACTCAGCCCACAGTCGACCTTCGACCTCAAAGTCCCTGCCCCTGCCTCTGCTTCTTTACCCATCCAATTGGCTTGGTTTTTATGGTTGTCGGCACTTTTTACGGCCACCAGGACCAGTGGCATTTGGCTCATTTCACTCCTGAGCGAGATCTCTCTAATTTGAATACCTGGCTAAGGACGAGAATCTGTTCGGTAATTTCTGCCTCCAGTTTCGCCGATAACATTTGCATCGCTCTTTATTGCTTTTAAATGTTTGCTAGCCGCCGCCTCCGCCCTGGAAAAGCCTTTTGCCATAAAAACTAGACACTCTACAGGGGGCGAGGGGCCACGGAGGAGCATTGAAATTTTGATATACGAATTGTTTTTACAGCCACAGGCATCGGTAGAAACTTTTGGCCCAGATTCCGCCCACTCAAGGCCCTAAAGCAAAAACCCCCCAATTACTTATCAGCGAGTGTAGTCATCCTCTGCCTTTGCCTCGGCAGAAGTGGCAAGGAATGGGGTATGGAATGGGGTGGAGTGCACCTGACCCGCCAGCGGATGATGAACTGGTGGACAGGACAGGAGGTTTGCCTGGGCAGGGCAGGGCAGGGCAGGGCAGGGCAGGGTACTGAGTGCGAGTGCCAAGAGCTAAGTGCCGCTTCCGGTGGTCGCTGGTCCACAAAAAAGCTGCAGGTCCGAGCCATAAATTTGCCGGCAAAAAGCTGAAAGACTTACAGTGCAGCCCCCATTACAGAACCTCCGGCTGAAATTTACTCCGAGTGCAGTGAGAGAAATTAAGGGTTCTTTGGGTGTGATATCTTTCCTTATACTTTACTTGTTAGTTTGTGGAGTAGTAGAACTGAAAGTATACTCCGAAGTACGCCCTGCTTTCGCTGAGTGTAGTTACATCCCCGCCTCCTACGAAATGGTGGGCCATCGTCGCCTGGACCCCAGTTATTGTTGCAATTAATAAGGACGTTGCCAGCGGCAAAAAGCGACCGGCGTCTGCCGTGCGTTGCCACTTGGATGGCGGATGGCGGATGGCGGACGGGGTAGATGGGATGGTGGGCACTCATCAGCGGATGCAGGAGGCTGACCCCTGGACACCCATAGCCACTTCCTACGCCTTAGCCCCCGCCGTTCCTCCTGAATCTGCCTGGCCCGCACAGAGGGAATATTTACTGCCGAAGGAGAGTAGGATGAGCAACTGCAGCAGCAGCCGAGTAAAATGTCCTTTGCACATTACATTTGCATTGCAGTTACAAGCATTTCGCATTTATCGCAGCAGCGGCGGCAGTGGTGGCAGCGGTGGCAGCGGTGGCACCAACAACAAGATGGACAAGGAACGCAGAAGGAGATGGTGGAGATGTAGGATCCTCCGGTCCCAGGGGGGAGATGAAGGCGGAGTCTAACAATGGACGGGCAGAAATCTCGTCGCCAGCGTCGTCGCTAACAACTCGTAGCATTGCAGCTGCCAGATGTGGTAAGAATAGAGATGTGACGGGGGGGGGTGGGGGCTTGGATGACTGGGTGGTTGGATGGTGCACGGGGGTGAGAGGCAGGTCGAGAGCAACATTTATTGTTTGCAAAGCCTTGTTTATTATTTTACGTGCATTTCTCTTGCCAGCTTCAGATCCAGCTTCAGCCTCGGCAAGGACTCTTTATGATTCACTCGGTCGCTCCTTTTGGTCGAGGACATTTTGTAAATAGCAATGCAGTGGCCTGGCCGCCTGACTTGGCCCAGGATTTGTCCATGCTTGCTCCTGCTCCTGCTCCTCCTCCACTAGCGGCTGCGATTTTATTCACTCGCCGCTGTTTATGTGACCCGGATCATCCCAGGCTCTCTGGCTCTTGGGCACCCGGGATGGTGCACCTCGTCTTGGTCTTGGTTTCGGTCCTCGATGCGGTTTCTTTATGTTTTTAATGCCGTGCGCCAAAAGTCCTTTTGTTTGTACACTTGTACTTTATGTACCGAGCGAAATTTATGCGCCGCTAAGTGGATTCGTGGATTCTTGGATTCTTGGATTCGCGGATCCATGGACTTCACCCCTCAGCCGGCATCTTGGCTCTCCCGTTTCCGGTTTCCTGCATTGTTGCCTGCCAAACAGGAAATGCAATCCTCGCCATCCATAAAACTTGTCCAAAATCTGGCCCCTGGTCTTCCACCCATAGCCCTGCCCATCCAGCCCAGCCCAGCCCAGCTCAGCCTCCAAGAACTCTCGGATTAAAAGACGAGAAGGCATTACAATTATCCTGCGCGTGTCCGACTCCTTGACTGCCTCCTTATCCGTCCATTTAATGCGCCATCGAAGTAGTTGGTAGGGAGAAAAATAACGAAATTTGCGTTTGCAGTGAATGAAAGTTGGTCCACCCTTAGGCCCACCTGAATGGACATAAAGTCGTGGCAAGTGCAAATCCTCAATTAACACAAGAACAAAACGAAACAACGCAAATCGCATGATGGGAGTCCTGAAGGAAAAGGACCAAAAAAGGTGATTTCTGCTGCTAATTGGAAATTGAGGGGAGCGGACGACCGAATGAGATAGACACTGACCCCGCCCAAGACGACCCCAAGAAGAAACGTCACAAATGTTTGTTCTTTTGCAGGAAATTAAGGCGAAATGTAACAATCGAATTAGGCTCGGATTGGGGGTCAAAAAGGGCCATGACCAAGGAACCGAAACCGATTCGCCACGTTTCGTTGGCTTCTCATTTCTCAGGAAGCCCAAAAAACAACCGTTTGACCTTCAGTCAATTTGGGGTCCCAACTTCAAATTGATTTTTCATATTCATTGGCATAAGGCTCAGAGCCTCAATGGGCGAAAAGAGATTGGGAACAGGAACTGGGACCAGCAATTCTCATAAATTAAACATGCTCCACATAAACTAAAGTGAAAAATGCGAGGGGCACCAAAAAAAAAAAAAAAAAAAGTCAAATAAGGGATGGGGGACAAGGGGAAACGGAGCATTTAACTGTATATTTGAAATATTTTAAATATAAATTTCAATATTTAACTGCGCCCGCCGACAGGAAACGGTTGCCGGACAGCACGGCAACAACTACGGATACGGAATATGGGAGCGGAAAAGGGACACAAGCCAGGAGAGCGGAAATGATCCATCGACCCTCGTGCTGTCGTCCCAAAACGGCTCTGGGATGCCCCATCTCCACCCAACTCCAGCCCACCCAAAAAAAAAAAAAAAGGTTTCCTCTGCCGCCCAGTTCGGTCCAGACCACAAAAACGTTGAAAATATTTGTGTTTCCACTTATTTGCATTAATGCCACGAACCGATTTACTGTCTGTCCATCTGTAGAAGGGCGTTTCTGTGGGCTCGGCCCCCATTCCCTTCTCCACCCCTGAAAAACAATATAAAAACATACATAACCACTGAATGCTGAACATGCGGGGTCAGGCCAATAAATAAGTGTGACTTTCGTTGGCGTCCAGTCTCCTTTTATTTAAACTTCCATCTAACGTTTGGATCGTGCTTTTTAAATTTTATAAAATACAAAAAGACATACCCTTTCGACTAATCAGAAGAAAGTTTATGGGCCTTTCCAACGTTTTCTAAATTGATTGTGAACAAACGCGAAATGGCCAATAAGAGATCTTTCAAAACCACCAATTGGCCCGGAATCCTGGACTCTTCACATGCTCTGAGGAAGTTCTTTGATTCCAGGCCACAGCCACCAAATGTAATCCTAAAGACCGAAGTCCAGGACAAACAGCCCATCTATACTCCTCCAACCTTTTTGGCAGTCGAGCGAGATCATCAATCTTGGATGAACGGCGCTTGGCAATTGGCTACTTTACCTTCGGATATATCGGAAGTAGCGAAAAATATCAAAGGGTTAAAAGACCGGCAGCGTAAGAAGTTAGAACGCAAGATATGGGCCAGGCCGGCGAAAATCGATATTAGCAAGAGAGCTGCAGGATTGGCAGCAAGAAACCAAGAGAAGCCCATAGGGCAACGGCAGACTGAAATGTCTCCGAAACCTACGAATCGTCAAAAACCCCGTTGGATTAAGGTCAAGACACCCAAGCCATTGCCCCAAAAGCGACCAGTCCAAGCCTTCCATCACCATCGGCTGTCACAACACAAGAACATCTTGATCGTGGACGCCAAGAAATTGCAGAATCCAGTCCACTTGGCTGGCGGAGTAGAACAGCCCCAGAACAGTTTTACATCTGGGCGGAATAGGGGTCCAAGACTCAAGATGAGCAGCCGTTCGAAGAAGACTTTCAATGTCCCTCTGTGCAGTCGTCCCACGGAGATCATGGACCTGCGCCTTCCCTACTCCCAACAGATGCGGGCGCGCCAAGAGAAGCTCTTCCAGCAGCCGGAGTACCATGACCAGTACATGCGCATGTTGTACCAACAGCAGCGCCATCAGGAGATGTGCCAACAGGAACAACTGCAGCAGAACTACGAACGGCAAATGTCCAAAATGTCCCAGCGACCCTATTCGATCCTGACGGATGCCATGTACGATGATCAGCAGCAGTCAGCAGTGTACTCTGTGCCTTCCAAGACTCCGTTGAAACATTTGAGGGCTGGCAAGCGGTTATGCGGCAACTTTTACTATAAATAGTTTTCTATATTAATAAACATGTAGTCAAGAAGCCAAAGTTAGGGACTAAGAATCCCTTGAAATGCCTTTCTTAAATTTAAAAAACAAATCTGAGTTTTTAATTTCAGCTCCCAGCTGACTATCAACTTCAAGTTGCAACATTTAAGGGGAAAGACCAGAATTTGTTTACTTCACGCACTTTCCGAACTCACCTGCTTAGCCATCGTGCCTTTCCCCATTTCCCAGCCATTTTCCATGACCGCTTGCCCTTCAGTGACCTGAGAACTTTCCGGTATTTAATATACTCGCAAGTACTTGAGGGTGGGGAATATAATGGAGGCTGATATTGGATGAGATGGGTGGTGGTGGGCGGTGGTGGCCTTTGCACGCAGATACAATTAAAATCGAAACGAGCCAACAATGCAAACTGGCGAACAAACAGGCAAACACAAGCCAAACAGCGAAACACAGCAATGGAAACGAGCAAATAATGAAGTGGATAAAGTTTGCTGAAACACTGAGTTTTCGAACCGAGTTCCAAATACGAAATTGAACCAGACCGAACAGGAGTGCTGTGTGGAAAGGGACAGGGAGAAGGAGCACGAGCAGGAGCAGGAGCAGGGGCAGGACCAGAAGCTGGAATAGGAATAGCAATGTGGAATGGAGGGAAACCTATTTTGTGTATAATTCAAGGTATCAAGGCATCGGAAGAGGGTCGAAGGGGATGGGATGAAAGCGTGGCAAAACAACATGGGAAAACTTTTGTAATTACAATAAAATTTTCACAAATAACTTGCAATTGTTTGTGTTGTTCGGAGTTGAGTGGAAAAGTGGGAGGATGGCTATTGGTTTGAAGGAGTCCTTGAATCGCAACGAATGTGTTAATTTTGTTGTGTATACCAGTTAGATGCTCACCCACTTTCTACAAGATGCAAAAGAGGCAAAAGTGCCAAGGGAAAATGAAAAGAAAACACCGCAAAATTGTCTCCTTGAGTTTTTATCCCCCTCCCAAAATAAATTAAAATATAATTAAAAAAAGAGAAATATATATATAAATGAAGAGAGCAAACAAAAAGTGAACTGTGAAACGTGGACCGGAATCGAAATCCATCCGCCTGAGAGCTCCTCAGAACCGGAGATTGCGTGCCAGCCTGGCCAATCCCCAATCCCAATCCCCCAGAATCCAAAATTGTATATGGAACATTGTTTGCAAATTAATCTTCGAAAATGTCTGAGCTATGCGGCTTGGAATGGGTCTCCGTAGTTGGCCAAGTATTCCGTTTCTATCTTATTTATGAACAAAAAGTGGATAGCTCATTTTTCAAACAAATATTTATGCTTCACTTGTACGGTATGCGTGCGAAAATATTTGCTTTTCATTTTTATAAAAGTTCGGAGTGCCGATTGCCAAATGCTGAGTTCTCGAGTATTTAGTATTTAGAGGAAGAAGAAAATTTAAGAATATAAATACGAAATGCATTTTCTGCAGTTAATCCAGTTACTGACAGGGAAATTGAGGTGTGAAAATGCAAAGCTTACGGGCTGGCAAGCAGACACAGGTAATGGCAAAGAGAATCCACAGCAGTGGGCAAATATTGGCAGCAACAATGAGGAAAATCTAGTTAAACCAAACGGCCTCACAAGGAAAACCCGCCAGCCCACGCCCCTACACACTCCACCGAAACCGATGGCAAACAACGTAGGCTGAGGGCTCTCAAAGAAAATGGAGGGGCATCATCGGTGGAGATGGAGGAGGCAAATGAAACTGAAGATTACGAATGTCTGCTGTTTTCGGTGCCCCATCTCCAGAAAATAAGAATAACGCAATACACAAGTAGGAAAAACAAGTGAAGTGCAGAGAAGGGGTACACTGAGAGAAAGACCTTAGTCTTATAACTTGTATGAGCTACAAAATTACAGGAATATGTATAACCATTAAACTTAGTTACTTAAACGAATGTCATATACAGAGATATAATATTTTTATTCAAATTTCATTTAATTTTTCTCATTGTGTAAAAAGGAAATGCTTCCGGGAACAGGGGAAAGTGAGGTGTATATATGCAGACCTCGATTCACGATTGATGTGGCGGATCCTGCCAGCAAATGGGAAAGCGAGGAGCCAAGGGTATTCGAGCCTTGATGGATGGATGGAGGCTTAGCTTAGAAGCGATGTAGCTTAAGCTCGACGCTCCCAATTGGAGCTTTGAAAGGGCGGGGGTAGGAGGAAAACGAAGGGACAGAAGCTGGGGAGGATTCAATGCCTTGGGTACATAACTCTCGTTGTCGTTTATTGATTTGTTTTGCCCCCAGCCAGCAGCCCAAAGCGGGTGATACATAGCCCAAAAGGAGAACCGCCGAAAGGTGCCGACTAGTAAGGACCTTCCTTTTTATCCTCATCCTCATCCTCATCCGCTGCATCTGGCAGATGCGGAAGAACAAGAAGATTCGAGGACAACGAATGACGTGCAGAAAGATGAGGAGAACGAATTCATCGCCGGTTTGGTTGGGTCATTCCTGTTTCTCTTTCCCTATGTCTGTTGCTCCTCGTTTCTGTTTTTCTTGGTTCAAGGACATTCACTGCTAAACACTTTCTTTGCTTTCTGTTTTTTTCATGGATTGAGCTGTGTAAATTCTACTAGGGAACTCACTATGAGCAAGAAATGGGATTTAAGTTCCCCGTATACCTTTTTTGATATACAAATAAAAATGCTTAAACCTAAGGAATATTATCTTTAAAGGATATTTTCGAGAATCTTCGTACTTAAAGCGTATTTCTGTAAAGGGGCTTTATCCTAACCGACCTCTTCTATCGAAGTATCTACGTACATGAAACCCCAAAAATGTGTCCAGCTCAGATTTGAAATATTTATCAATAAAAAAAATCAATTTCATTTTGAGCTTCAAACAGGAGTTTCCCTCGTCTCGTACTTTTTAAATTTCCAAGAAATTTCCAACACGATTTTGCTTTTCAGTTCCGCCTTATGTTGTTTTCCAAGAAACTTGATGCCATTTTTTCTAACAGTAAAAATATTGTAATCAAGATTGTTTTCGTTTAGACATTTCCCTCGACTGCTTAAGGGATTAGCGCGCACTCAAGGAATTGAAGTGGCAGGGAAATTGGGTAGGATTATTGAATTGCTCAATGGGCTCCCACGAATTCACACGAATATTCCGACAGAATAGATTTAATTTGGGTTTTATTGTGGCCCCTCTGCCCTCCCTTATTCATGCATATTTCTCGGTTCCCTCTTACTTTCTAGATGCAGACCCTAGACCACCTCAAAAAACATATATAATTCTATAATTTTGAACAAGAAATTCCCTGAAATTCGCATCTTCTGTTTGCCAAATAGCATTAAGCGGGAAAATTGCAAGGGAAAAGCGATACCAGGGGACTTACAGCGTTGCGTGTAACAAGTGTTTGGAGGCTCGCATTCCACTCATATGGTTAAATGCGAGTGTATACTTCTATATAAGGTGATTCCCGTGCAAATGATATGAAAATTGCTGTCGTAAAAGGCAGAGGAGGCGTGGCAAGGGGGCTGGTGTGCACGCGAAGGAAACGCAGATTAAAACTGCGAGTGGGTATGATGAAACACATTTGCCTAGACATATTTAGCAATTAGGGAATAACCCCCAATTCCCAAACTCACAAAAACAACTCAAATGGCAAAGAAAACAAAAACAAAACACCCTGAAAATACTCGAACTTCTAACAAATCGAAGTGGAACGGGAGAAGTTGCATCAAACTTCTACGCTGAACTCGCTTATACGTCCTCTGTATAACAGTTTTGCTGCTTAACTTATAACTTATACAAAATGCTGTTGTAGTAGTCATTTCACTTCAGCCGAAGAGCTAATACGACTTATACTTATACAGTAAATGATATGCTGCTACCTTATACACGTTCCTTATACATGTTTCTGTGTGTCTTTCATTGCTGATACTAACTTATACGACAAAGCAGCAATGAATTTCGGTATAAGCTGCGTTTGCTTTGTGAGTTTTGCGCTTATAATTATACTAAAGCAGTACTGAATTAGCATACTTATACGCCTTATACAATGTGCTTATAAATTGTCGCATAATGTTGCTGGTAAAATAAAATATATTGTTTAAATACTTAAGAATTACATAAATTTAAAATATAGGCTTGTCCATTTTTATCTAAAATTTTGTATTTATTTAAAAAATATTCCTTTATTTCCTATGTTTTACTTATTGCTCCTATATAAGCTCACACTTATAATACCTTCGCATACGTATACGAGCCTTATACTCGCTTTTAGTTTGTAGTATACTTGGACTCTACTAACAGCATTATTAGTAATATTAATATTATATTGATATATCGATAACATATAGTTTCCAGTCCAAGAGCAGTTTTGTATTTATAAAAATATGTTTTATTTAATTCATAAAATGTTGTATTAGTATTATTAAACATATACTCCTACTTATACTTATAACCTTACTTCTACTCTTTGTTAGTAGCTGAAATGGTCTCACAGCACTCTGCAAGCCCAATTTATAAGACCGAACTTATATGATAAATATGCGAATCAGCTGAATCTTATACCACCAAGCAGACTTCTACATCTGCCTTCTCTTGTCTAAGGAAAATACTTTAACTTATACTACATCCACCCCCGGAAGAGACAGAGTGCCCCAGTATAAGTTTATGGGCATAACCGGCTTGGTTTCGCACGGCAGCAACAACACACACACACACACACACACTCTCACGCACCATCATCGGTGGCAACAACAAACAAAGTACTCGAGTTCGGAGTGTTTACAGACCGCTCTTGTAGAGGCTCTCTTATATGTGCGTCTATATCTGGATATCTGAATATATCATGCTCTCTCTATCAGTGCACGACTCTCTCTCACAGTTGCCTCCTGCTGCACGTTGCCGATGTGGAGATGTATTTCACAGATACTCGTTCTTTGGCGGTCGTCGCGTCTCGAGCTTCGAGGTTTTAGTTCGGTTTTAGCTCTGATTCCGTGAGGACGCTCGCCAGGCGCACCGCTCCGCGTTCCGTTCCGTTATTCGACTGCCTCGCACGGAGCCTACCGCTCACCCACACTCCTGCAGAAACGCACACACACACACATACATATATATAAAGACGGGGCAGCACTCGTGCCGCGATAACAACGCCAAATTATCGAGTCTGCGCCAACATCCAGCGGATGGCAAAGTGCGAATCTTAAAGTGGCCAAGTGGCAGTGCTCCTAGACCAGGCCAAGAACCCCCCGATGCCGTTGGTCTCTTTGATTGCCCCTGCTCCGGCTGCCCCCATGTGAACAGCCGCCACAATGCGGCGCTAATCCAAACCCGGTTCAAATCGCGAGTTCGCGGGTGTTTCAAAAATCAGACAAAAAAGTGCTCTAAAGTGGTGACCCAAAACAAATGTGTCGCACCAACAGCTGCAGGGGCAACTGCTGCACTTTATAGTGCAACATCGGGTTATCTATTATTTAGCTCCCAGAACATAGTCCGCTAATAGCCAACAAAGCGAGCATAACGGCCAGAAAAATGGCTTTGCAGCAGCAACATCAGAAACATCAGAAACAGCAGCAACACCAGCAGCACATCAAGTGGCAGCAACATGCAACAAAGCGTCGACGCTGCCGTCAACATTGGATTAAACATCTTCAGCTTCTGGGACTTCTAGGTGAGTTGACAACCTGACCATGATGGGTAAATGGCTATTGGCAAAGCAACAGCTGTGGTTCATTAGCAGGTCTTGCATGTTGCAAGTTGTATGTTGTATCCTTTTAATGGATCTTGCGGTCTGGCCAAGATGGAAACCAAAAGGGATTCATTCTATTTCCAGGCCTTCTCAACTAGGGACAGCAATCATTTGAGGGGCGTGGCAAGGCCCCCCCCCTGATGACTGTGAAGGGGAGGTAGATAGCTTCCAGAATGGTAAACTAATTAATAATTACACATTATGCAAGGCAAGAAGCACCGGACACACGTACCACAACAGCGCTCCACTTCCGCTGCAATCAAACGCATTATCGTCGAACAGGTTGAGCAGTTTGGAACGAAATGGGTGTGGAGCTGGTGGAGTTAGAGTCGTAGATTGGAGATTGGAGCTGGGGCTGAGAACAGGGAGCTGACAACCGGTACTTGTGTGTCATGCACTTGCGGTCTTATCGAGCTTCCGCCCCTCAATCCCAGAGCAGCTTTGGTCCCCCGGCCCCCCTCTTAAAAACAAAGTAAAAAAAATGACAACCAAACAATCGAATATAATTTACAAAATATTGTGTCGACGCCCACAGTTTGGTTTTTGGTTTTTTGGTTCGCTTGGGGAGCAGGTTTGTTGTTTTTTTCAGCTTTTTTCTGTATTTTTCTCATGCCTCTGGCTTTGCATGACATTTGTGGGCGTGTGTGTGTGTGGGGCATTGAGGGAGAGAGTCGGAATGGAAGCGGATTTACAGAGTACGCCCATCATTAAAAGCCTAATAAACTAGGGATAGCAAATAGAAGACCCAGACCAATTAGTTTCGAAGCACCTGGGCAAAAGCCGAGCCACGCCCCCTTAGGGAATTGAAGGGCAACAGAGAAAAAAAACGGCAAACAACAAAAATCAAACACGAATCAGAATCAAAATCAAAATCCGAGTCGGAAGTCTATCTAGATGTAGGCTTGCACGAAAGTACATACATGTATGTACATACATACATATATATGTATAAACATATATCGCTGGGTGGAAAAAGGAAAAGCATGTATTTGTCAGCACAAAATAATCAAGGATCATAATATGTCAACAAACAGACAGGCCAGGCTAAGGCGACCAAAAAAACAAGCACAAGGACACACGAACGCAGAAAAGTTGCGTCTGTCTGTCAACTAGAGAGTGTGTGTGTGTATGCGTGGTTAGTGTGTGTGTGTGTGAATCCCTATCCGTGTGTGAGTACAGAAACAGAAAAGAACAGAACAGGACAGAAATGTATGCCACCAGAGCGGAGCAACTGAAGCAGAAGCAGCAGCAGCAGCAGCAAAGTGTAGGACAAACACACCGTAATAGATATACAGACGAGCATGTGTTGGTGCAGTTAGAAAAGCGGGAAAAACGAGAAGGAGAAAGGGGGAGAGCCAGGCCCTGAGAGTGTGGAAAAGTCGTCGCGACTTGTCGTTTTTGTCTCTGACAGTTGGCAAATGTAGTGAAGTGCATTGACAATACCACGAACCAAGTACAGCTTGACCAGAGCGCCATCAATGGCGATAGGTGGAGCCAAGAAGAGCCAGAGGAGCAGATGGCTACCACTTGAGGGGCTGCGCTTCTTTCTGCTACCACTTTTGCACACCCAGTCAGCTCAAAGGGGCAGAGTGTTAAGCACACAGGGTACAGGGTTCGAGCACATAGATTATCTTGGACTGCTATCTCCAGGAAGCATCGCAACCACTGCAACTGACTTGTGTGTGCCTGTCATTTTCGAGCTGGTTCAAAGTTAATTGCGCTGCCCTCTCACAAAAAAAAAAAAAATGAGTTGCAAAAGAAGAAGAAAAGTAAGGCGAATCTTTGCCCAGATTGCGGATGGAAGTGTGGGCAGCTGAAGCTGGAAACTGGAAAACGCCCATGTTTGGCCCAGACTTGGCTACTTGGCTACTTGGCTTAACGAGCCACGGGCTACCACAAATCCACTGTCCACAGTCCGGATAGTTGATATTTTTTTCGCCCCAGCAGCACCTTGAGCCCGCTAACCAGTTCAATATTGACTCAGGTCGCCCACACGCCCCTTAAAAACCACCGACCGTAGCCAGGGTCCAAGCTCAAAATGCGCGCCAGCGTGGGCTAAACGAACTTACGTAATTGTAAATCAAAAGCGGTCTCCCCTCTTGCAAGAGCACAGATAATCTTAACGTGGCCAAGAAATATCATCGAAATTGGTCTGCAATCTTAAACGAAATTGAAAGCATTGAAAGATAAATTTATTTGTTTATTAACTTAAGTGATAGAAGATAACTTGGGGCTTGGAGACCTGTCAACATGGTTTAAGGTTTTATAAACTTTAATTTGATTTTAATTATAAATTTATTATTTTTTGGTTAATCAATATAGTGGGCAATATTTTTTGATAATTAAAACAGTCATAAATATAGCCAATATTTGTTTAGACCATTTTACTGATACAGTAATTAAGCCGAAATCCAATTGAATTTATTAGAATGTTTAAGGATTATTAATGTATAAACAAATGTGTAAAACTGTTTACATGGAATAGTAGTTAGTCCAATTAAAGTTGAAAACTGCAAATACTATAAAGCCCTGATAAGAAGATGATAAATGCTAAAATTGTAAATAATAACCATACTGGGTAATCCCTAAATATTATTATTAATATTATTATATAATAGTACCATCACTAAGCTTATGTTTTATTACCATTCAGATTATCTGCTTAGTGAGAAGATTTCGAATTTAACCAAAAATCTTGTAGTTTTTCAATTGTTGTGGGATTTTCTTTACCCTGGCTTATCCCAGGCTTATTAAAATGCTAAAATAATTGTTATGAAAAAGTGAGCAATACCAATCCGAGATGGTTGTGCCACCGCTCAGTGTGTGTTTGTTTGTGTTGTGCCTTGGCCAGCTAAATTTATCTCAGACCGAAATAGACATTGCATTGGCCATATTCCGACTGCTTGTTGACAGAAAGATGAAACTAAATTAAAACAGACACTCATGTGTATGTGAGGGAGTGCATAAATAAATCGACAGCATGTGGCAAGGTGGAAAGTTGGAGTGCGGGAGTTGGATTTCTTGAATATATTGCCCATGTTGGATATGTCAAATGAAAACAAAATCGTAAAAATGTCGGGCTCTTGAAGTCGCCACCGAGAGCGGTCTCCTGCTGCGGCGCTCGATCGTGGCATGTGGTAATTGCCCCGAGTCTTTCGGAAATATCCATAACCATAATAGTTCTACCTAGCCGGGATTTATGGGCCTTCAACACATGTGTTGATGATGCGACCGACCCCTTGCCTTGATGGTTCAACGAATTTTGATGGAGTTTCGGCTAAGCGAAAATTGGATTTTGTATTTGTACATAAGTTTAAAGAACCAGAGGTTTGAGAGCCATCGCGCTATTCTGGCTTTGGCAGGTTGAGAATGAATTTCAATTAGTAGGATAGCATAGGAGGATACCCATATATGTTGTTCGCACAAAGTGATGGCAGGCAGGAGGGGCGGCAGAGTAGGGGCCTGTTCTGTGGCAGGATATTAGCAATGTGCAGCCTGGCGTGCTTCCTACGCAGAATATTCCCACTGAAGGATGCGGCGAATGGATGGCATAGATGATTGCTCCACTCCCTCCGCACTGCTACTCTCCGCTCCTCCTCTTCGCTTTGCACTCCAGTCGATGACTGACTTTGATGGGTTTGCTCCGATATTGATGCGAATTGATTTGGTTAGTCAGCTGTCGGACAGCCGGATGCCCACCATCACCAGCTCCTCCGTCCGCCCGCAAACAGACAGTTGAATGAATAAATAAAAACGGCAAATCAAGCAAGATGCCAAATGAGGCTCGTCATAGACAGGAAAATGAGGTTGCAGGAGGCAGAGTCCTCGAAATGGAATACATTTAATGGCCCTCAGCTCGCTCAGTTCGCTCAGTTCGGCTCAGTGAAGTAATTGAAAAACCATTTCAAGGTGAGCCCAGAGGGCCAGACACTATGACGATGGCTTCATCATCATCCCAGCAGCTCACTGCTAATTTAAATTTATGAATTTTTGGAAAACATCTCAATGCGGGCTTTTCAGGAGGCAGCAGCGGTGGTGGCATCTAAGGAGGCTTCCTTCCACGCACTTTCACTTTTCTTGAGTATTTAATCAAGTGTGAATAATTGCATCATTCTGCTCAAAGGGAGTCGATATCCTTTGTGTTTGTGCGTCGCCAGATACGAGCCCCCAGTCAATATCTCTGTGGGTGTGAGTGTGTCTGTGTGTTTGTATATTGCAAGGACCTGTTATCGATATGTGGGCCAAGAAACCACACGCACACCCACACTCCCTCGGCAGCACTTTCCTTTAAACTCCAGTGAAATCAAATTCAAAGTGAGCCGACAGAGTTTTCACTTTATTGTGGTGGCAACTTGCATATTTGAACCTTCTGTTGAAATTGCGATATTGAAAAATGAATATTTTATTAGCTCGGGTAAATATTTATTGCCATATACTTCTGCGGCCTTCCATCTTTCAGTTAATTGAAGTGGCAGCTGCTGCGCGCAACTGGAAGTGCAACATCCACATTCACGGCTTGCAACTTCAGCATCTGCCTAATTTCGCTCATTTTCGAGACGCGTGTCTAACCGGTTGCCCATTAGCTCGTGGCAGCTTTAAGTCGACATCCAGCAGCTTGGATCGACAGCTGCAAGTGCCACTAGTTGCAGTGGCAGCAGAACTTCTGGCTTTGAGACAACAATCCCATCGCCGCAGGTTCCAGGCAAAAAGGGTTTTATATTCTTTTTCTGTTTTTTTCTTCTTTTAGTTTTACCATTTAAAAAACACAATTATTTAGTAACTCATTGAGTTTGTAGATAAACTTTTAAAGCAAAGTTAAGCTTCAGTTTTAAATTTGAAACTCCATTTATTTCCCCTTTCATAAATTAAATGATATCCCAGTAATAAAATGATTAAAACCATGTGGGCTGGATCTGATTTTC